GCACTATCACCCATAATTATAATATTTTTAGGTTCAATTGGTAGAAAATCCGCATCTTTTGGTGGATCAATAAGATACTTGTAGGCAGTTATGGAATCATGTAAAGCGGCAGGAAATTGACTTTGTGGTGCAAGTCTATAATTTGGTACTTTGTTTTTTTTTGAAGAAAATAAAATTATGCGTTTTTTGTTAGTCAACCAAACCTTTTTTTTTTTGTCAAATCAAATTTCATTTTCGTAATTTATAATCAATTACCAAATAGTCTTGCATTTGTAGATTTTGCAACTTTAGAAGTATAACTTCGATAAGCACCGGGTGATGCGAAAATATATCCACCACCATGCAAGTACAAAATAACCTTATCATATTTTTTCTTGTCGCCATTTTTTTCTTCTTTTTTAACGTAAACCCATTCACATTCCAACCCATCTCCAAGATTAGCACTTCCCCAATCATCAAAAAGTACATGATTATAATCTTTCAAAATCTCATCAATGTAAACTTCCGATTTTTTACGAAGTGAATTCGACAATGACAGCTCATCTACATGTACACCATCACCGACAGCACTATTGACCGTAAGCGTTGCTTGAATATCTTCGAAAGGTTTACCAAACATATCTTTTACAATGTTGACCGTCGAATGATATTCTAAGTCCCATGATGGTTGTGGTGGTCTGAAATCCGACATTTTTATTTTTTTACAAGAATTAAGGTTTTTTTTTAATTTTTATTATTATTATTTTTATTATTTATATGAATAAATATAACGTTTAAATTTTTTTTTTTTAAAAAAAAAATTTTATTTCATAAAATAATAAATTCCATGTATTTATTTATTTTTGCTCTTTGATTTTGTTGTATGTGAAATTGAAAATATTATGGAGTGGAGTGAAATTCTGATTGCTAATTTGAATTTCACACATGTAAATTTGAATTACGCATATGTGAATTGCGAATTCACATAATTTCATTTTCACGTACAACAATTTTAAAATATTAATTCAATATTACTAATTATGGGTTGACAATAGAAACAGAGAGAAACAAGGCGTGTGTTTCTATTATCCACCACTTTATGTGAATCGTGAAACTTGAATTCAAAAACTTTAATTTTTTCAAGTCTTTGGCCAATCAATCAATTTTGCAAAGCCAAGCTACTCCGAAAGCCTTTGCATTCTGTTGTCCCCAAAATATTATATAGTCTAAAAATAGTTAGCCAATTTTGTCATAGAGGTTGGAACCGGTTTGATTTAAAACCGGTTGAAACCGGTTGCAATATAAAACCGGTTTTTATCATTCATACAATCACTGCTAAATCATTTATCAAATTCTCTGTCGCCATTTTTTCAAACAAAATACTAATATGTATATATGATGTATATTTTTTGAATTATATATATTATTGTATATATAATTTATATATGAATGTATATTGTGAGATCGTATCCAAGCTTCAATGATGATAATTTATTTATTTGATGTTTATGCTAATACAATAATACAATTTCTTCCAATTTATATATACTAAATTGTAATAACAATTTCCGCGAATATACTGTATATTTATGTTTTACTCTCAAACTATCTTTCACCATCATTAGATGATTCCTTGCTAAGCAATACTAAACAATCTACTTAGATTTCACACTATGTCCTGATCACGTTTCTTGGTGGATGCCCTTTCGCGCTGTTACTCCCTACTCAAGTCAGGTACATTTCCCAAACTTCACTAAATAAAATTTACCTACTAAAAGAAAAGAAAAGAAATAAATAATAATAATAATAACAGAGACAATTATAAAATAAGAGAGAATTAATTACTGAATTATGCACGGGATATTAGTACGAAAATATAAAATCGAAGACCAGGACAAGATTAAGGTTAAGAATAGTTGGTTATTTATTATGAATTAACTATTCATTAACTATTGATTTTCTATTTTTTTAATTAAGAAAATTACAATGTTATTTATACATGTTAAATGTCCAATCATCTAGTTCCCCAATTTCTAAAAACTCTTAATTAAAGTATTCCTTAAAAATAAACAAACCTTTCTTTTGGAAATATTTAAAGAAATGTTACTTTCTTGATAATTCCCGCGAGTTAATTATTTTATTGGTTTATTGTACTTTATCAAATTGGACTGATTTGAATCCTTTAAATGTATTTCCGTTTTGATTTCCTTTTCGTACAATGTTCGTAAATCACTATTACTATTACTATTTCACAATATGTAAATTCGAAAGATGATGATACATTTATTTAATGTTTACACTAATACAATAATATAATTTAGCAAGGAATTGTTTAATGACAGTGAAAGATAATTTTGAGATATTTCCCACAAAATTAAAACCGGTTTTATTAAATTCGGTTTAAAACCGTTTCCAACATCTAGTAGTACTCGAATTTATTATTATTATAGTTTTTCAATAGGACTGATTCCAGTATCAATTTTTTGGTGTGACAAATTTTGCCCATATAAAGAAGTTTATTAATTAAAATTTTTTCCTGTGAAAAAAATATATAATTCCTTTTTAGGAAGAACTAAAGGAAAATTCAAAATACTTGGTTTGATGTTAAATTCGCCATGTTAAAAGTAGTTGGCACAATAACCTTACCATAACGCCATGATGTTTTGAGGCATGTGGCCAAACATAGTGTCTTTCCTAAGCATCTAACTAATTGATGGATGTTAATAATCATTATTTTTTTTTCGTTTATTTACAAAGTGTTAAAGTTTATATATACAGTACCTAGACAAAAGAATCGGAATGCATGTTTTTGTTAATTACGTAAAAACATACATATCAACAACATAT